ACCCTTACTGGTAGTTGGGTTGGGTCAAGATCTTGGTAAAATCCTGCATTTAAGCTTTCCAATCGTGGCCACATACTGACTTGGTGCTTTGATAAGCTTCTCGCCGTCGAATCTAAGCAAGATTTGTATGACATGTTTGAAGAAATCAAGATGTAGTAGTGTACACAAGCTGACTGTCTCATTACAGCCGTGGATCTTTAATGCAATAAGGAATGGAAGGATTGCTTTTGAAGAAGATAAGAATGTCAAAAAACGAAGAAATGGTGATGCTCTGTTTTTCCAAGGCTCACAAGGCAGCTTTCCCATCCCCAACAACTGACCAACTACTTCTTCAAGTTAGTTTGAGAGTGGTAAATTCATATCCCTTTTTTGTATGCAAATCACATTTGGATGACAGTGCAATGTTGTGATTTGAGCTTGCGATTATGGTGTCCATTTTTTTATTTCGATCTTTCAAGGACAAGTTGATGCGCATAATTAATGCAAGAGAGAGAGCTCGTAAAACGGGAGAGAAAAAGAGAAAAACTTGCAATGATTTTTTTCTTTTTGTTACACTAGTGTTGGTGTTAGGGATCTCGTAGTGAGCTAATAATATATCGAAGTACAGTGATTGAACACTGATTGTTGTTGATGTTAACAAAGTCATTTCTTTAACAAAGTTTGAGGCGACTATAAAGACTTAAAAAAAACGAATACTTTGTGCATTGATAATCTTAAGATTTAACAGTTGGAGAAGATAATTAAACATTCAATATTGTATTCTCATGTATATTTTACAGTATAGCAGGAACCGTTGGAGTAGTGTATATTTTACAATATAGCAGGGACCGTTGTTCCTTTCTTGACAATCTGGTTCCGTAACTAAAAGTGGATATGGAGACTTTAAAAACTCCTCCAAATCCAATAAAAATAAAATAGTAACACAATCTCGTATAGTAAAAACTATATACCCTATAAACAAACAAACTATTTTCAAACGAAAGCAATATATATATTTATAGTCGTAAGCAGCAGCTTGATCATCGACCATATGGTGGTGTCTAAGCTGCAGATGGAGCTTTGACGTACTGAAGCACACCGGCCTCAGACAAAGCTTCGAGAAACTGTTGAAATGTCTGTTGCTTCTTGTGACTGTTTCCTCCTTGTTCGCCAATAAGGTTCTTGTAATCAAGAGACTCGTCGTTGTAAATGTCCCACCATTTCTTGACCAGCATCTTGATGTCTTCTCTCTCCATATTCTCTTCTTCTCCAGTGAATCTAATTCAAATTCAACAAACAACTTTCAGAAAAATCATAACATCAAACCGGATTTGAGACAGATCATATTTATAAATCATGTAATCTTTTTTTTCAAAAAAAGGTTACAAAAATATTTAAATCTTTAATTTGTAATATTATATACCTCCACGGCTTAGACCCAGCAGCACAGTAATGAACAACTTTGACTTGGTCAAGCTCTACATTCTCTGGATGCCTCCAAAGCATTGCCAAGACCAAGTTGTAAGCTAGTGGTATTGGCTTGTATATGTCCTTGAAGTACATGTTCAAGAAATCCTGTAACAAAAACATTTACAATGAATCATAATATGGTTTGTGTTGTATATATATGATCATTATTAACAATTCTTGTATTTACCTGTTCAGCAAAAGAAGTGGGAGGTACAACTTTGAGAGTCTCCAAGAGGTTATGATACGTGGAGAGGTTGGGCTCGTAGACGAACATACCGGCGTTGAAGTACAAAGGTGGCTTAGGACCAAGCTCTGCCTCTAGCCACGTGACCTTGTCCGGACACTGTTGGCAATAACCGATCTTGTACTGTGGCGAGTGGCTCCATGTCTTCTCGCAGAAACAGTCCATGACTGCGTAGAATTGACCGTCTGGGAGATCAAACAAGTGATCGATGTTGTCGAATACTTGTATGTCTCCGTCCAAGTAAATCATCTTGCTGTATTCCACAAACTGCATCCATATATATCTTTATTATACAGTGTTTTTTTTTCATACGTATCAAAATAGAAGAGAACAAACAAATTTAGCACAAGAATATAAGGAAACATTCTAAAAATATTAGAAATTATATAAACTTTGTTGGATTTATCAGTTAATTTAATAGATTTTTTTTTGTTTTTATAAATATAAAAAAAAATATTTAATATATCAATTTGGTTGAGAAAAATATAGAGTATGACCAACCAAAAAATATAAACTTTTTAAATTTAAAATTTTCAAAAAAAAAAAAAGAAAAGCAAATATAATATATATAAATTTGCTGACGTAAAAAAAGAAAATTTGTTTTTCCTGCTTGGTGTAGTTTTCAAAAAAGGAAGTATACACACATACCTTCCAGATACGAAGCTTAGAGTAGTTGATAACGTAGTAAGCCATAGCGAAATCGGTTTGATTCTCCGGTGGATAAACCGGCTGGATCTCTTTAACGACACAGCCTTGCTCCACCAGCTGTTTCCGGTGATCCTCCGGAACGTCTGGTAATACGGCGACCACGAGTGGATACTTGCTCTTAGCTTTCCTCAGCCCCTTAGCAAGACCCACCACTCCTTTCACGTAGTCTCCGTTTCCGGCGAGGAAAGTCACGTAAGCCCTCTTTTCTCCGGTGAGTTGTGTGTTGATCTCAGGTGCCATCTTGTTTTTGTGAACTAATAATAAACTTTGAAAAACTTTTGTGTGTTGTTTTGTGACTTGTATAAATTTGCGTTTGAGTGATGGTTGAGTGGGGAAGAAATGGTGCGCATTATATAGGATTTCGTCAGTGATTTCGGTTAATTAATTAAAGATTAATTGCTAATTACTTCGGATAATATAATAGGACCGACTCCTATACGTTTCCAGAGAAAGATTTTGATCTAACGGCTAATAAGCAAGACGGTGATATCTAACGGCTTTTGACATAACCGCGAAGCTTCCTTTGAAATTAACTATCTGGAGAGAGGGTCCCACTTTAATCCAGGTGATGCCACGGCGTTACATAAATGACACGTGTCCGTCTCTTCGACTCATCAAGGTTTTAATGGATCGCGTGGTAGTTGATCGGTCACTTGTTTAGTGGGTTCCACTTCAGATACTACTACGTCGTTTTGTGTGGTAGACCGAGGTCTTCAATACAGTTATCGTGTGGGATTTTCTTATTGGTTACTGGGATTCCACGTGTCCACGTAAAACTTAGTGGACGGTGGTAATGCCACGTGTCAAGATAAAACTCTATGGTGGATCTTTTGTGGGACCCATTAACCGTTTGGTCTACTTTCTTTTTTACCATTCTTAAATTTCAATGGTAGTTTGTCCGATCTATGACCGACCGACTATTTTGGTCAATCTCAAATATTTAAACGTATCAGTCATGACTCATCGAAAGGTTACCTTTCGTAATTTTTATTAATATTACCATTTTTTTATATATATAATATAATATGGCTCTGTGTGTGTAACGAGGACAATTTTAGAAGGGCCGATTTGCTCATTAACCCAAAAAAATGATAATCAATTATTTTTAAAAAACAGTTTTCAAAATTTTCATCCAATTTCAACTAAAAACAAAAAACAAAAACCAAAATATTTGTTTCAACGAGACTTTTTTCATTTATAATACTTTTTGTTTGCGTAAAACTTAACCAGACAGAATGAAACACAATTCTACGAAACGACGAAAAAACGTTAACTTTATTGATCAATAAGTTTCGATAAAAATTATAAAAAATCAACAAAAAAATCGCAAATAGACGATCTAGTTGATCATTCGTCGCTCATCATAAGCACTATCATAATTCTTGTCGCTCATTGTTGAGAGGCGGCAAAAGTTTAGTAATTTAGAATTTTTGCGTGTGTGTTATGATTATCTCGTCTTTCTGCTAGAACTCTCGTATTTCTAAATTTTGTAAACCCTAATTCTTGTTGGACTAGGCTGTTTGTCGTTGGTCCATTCTAACTCTTTTTGGAGTATGACGTTATGTCGGTCGCTATGCTAAACCGTTGGTTATTAATATATTGGTATTAAGTTCATCGGTCGGTGGTTAATCCATAAATCGAACTTCGTTGCTAGTTAAGTCAATTTATCAGTGCTAACCAATTATGTCGACATTAGTGACATGGTTAGTGCCATGACTTATGACTTCGTGTTTATTGTCTGACAAACAAATCAAAAAACAAAAGCACCTTGAAATGAAGAAATAGAAGCTACTGACTGAACATGTCTTTGATCTGTTTAATCCAAATCTTATGAATCGTGTTCTTGTAGTGTGAATCCAACATATTTTTTTGTTACTACAAATATTACTTAAATTATCCAAACCCC